CTCCCACTGTCTGTGAGGTCTGCTGGGTCTCTAAATGAGTTTAAGTCTCTGTCAAAAACTCATCTGTTTAAATGGGTATTTGAGTCTGAAGAGCATGATTACTAGACCAGCCTTTGCTGTTTTGTTTGATTTTATTTTTCATTTTATTACTGTACTTTGTTCATTGTTTTTATTTTATGCTCCTGTACAGCACTTTGGTTTTTATTGTGCTTTATAAATAAACGATGATGATGATGATGATGATGATGGTTGTTGCCACTCCACTTGGTCCAGCAGCCCTCCAAGGTGTCATGACTGCAGGTGTTTTTAACTGCAGACTAACGAGCAGATCTAATCTGAGGCAGATGTCTATTTAAGGAAAGGGAATTGACTGGGTGTGTGTCCTTATTTTCTACCTCCAATTTGAGTGATTCCATACTTTTTTCCTCAGAACTGAGTGACTCCATATTTTTTTTCCTGTGCTTGGTCTATAAAAGTAATATTCACTGACTTCCACAATGTTTTCTCTTCATTTCTTTGAGTGTTCCTGAAAGCCAACAAGTTGCACTTTGGAATGACCTCATTATTGTATCATGTTTTTGATCTGTGTTTGTTTTACAGAATGAAATGTCTGAATGAGTGCTCATCCAAGACTGGTGATTCCATACTTGTTGCCAGGGTTGTACAGAAACATCTGAATGTTGGCTACAAGCTGGTAAAAACATTTCTATGAATGTCTAAGACAGTTAAAACTACAAGCAGTTGAAGATAAAACTATGAAAGTGAAATTAAAATTGGTTTAAAATTTGGCAAGTCAGATTTCAATATATTATTTGTGGTAAATATGAGGCATAGTGTTTTCTTTTTGTCTTTGATATTGTTTAATTATCACTACTTTTATAGGGTTCTGTATGCTGTATTCATGATTAAATACAGCAAAATAAACTGTTTCAAAAGATAACATATCTCTGTAATACTTGTTTTATTTACATAATGACTTTAATTGCTGGATGTTCGGCCCCTCAGCTGTTGACCTGCAGTACTAACTGTGGCCCCCGGGGCAGTTTAGTTGAATAGCTCTGACCTAGGTGGAACAGTTTCTTATTAAAGAAAACCACTAATCTGTTCGCAATGAAACATTGTTAAATCTTAAAACACTTTTTTAAAATTCATTTTGAACCTTTTGGTAGCGTGAACCTGATGTTCTTAGAATCAGTTGGTACATCAAAAAAGGCCATTGTTAGAAAGCTGACAACTGCATCCAAAAAATAGACAAATTAAGCTCACTCAGCCTCCAAAGAGGCAACAAGTCAACACAGGAGGTGGCACAAAGACTTCAACTGAAGCCTAACAATGAAACCCTTATAGCAGAGGTGCCCAAAGTGGGGCCCGCGGGCCAAAATTGGCCCTCCGAGCCATTTGATTTGGCCCACCAGCAGTTGTCCTGCTTACTAGATTGTAATGTTAAGATTAAATATAAAATACAAGTTACTACAAGAGACATTTAGATTAGATTTAAGCTCATATATAGATTTGCACACCTTATAAGACCAATTTTCTCCATGTCCATAGGCTGAAAAAAAAAACTAAAGAATGTGGGCAACCACACTGGCTGCTATCTTAATCATAAAAAACAAAACAACTTTACTTAAGTATTTGCATTTCTTATATTATTGCATTTGGCCCACGGCCCTCAGATTGATTTTAATTTTGGCCCTGTCAGGGAAAATGTTTTTTTAATTTTGGCCCTCTCAGTGAAAATGTTTGGGCACCCCTGCCTTATAGTGTATGTTGTCTTGAATGGAGGCTTGTGGATCATATAGGAGTATTTATGTGTGAAAGGTTGTTAAAGGAGTGCTGGCCTGTGATGACTTACGACAAATGGTCAAAATCCTCCATGGTGCCTCTTGGTCTGACAAAGACTCTGTTTATTTCGTTGTGTAGACCATCCAAGAGAAAACGCAGGAACTCCTGAGCATCCTGCTGGCTGTGAGACACATTACACTCAGATATATGCAAAGTATATAATCATAAAAGGGAATACAAAAGAGTAACTCAGCTTACTTGTATCCCACAAATCTGGGAGCATATCTCTGGATTTGAGTTTTGAATTGAGACGGACACACTGCCTCACTGCTAGATGATGTCCAAATGGTCTGGATCAGCTTGGCAAATTCTACCAACACAAAAATTAAAGTTACCCACATGGCAGGAGAAAATGTGCTTAGCATTTTAAGTTCATAGTTATAAAGTGGAAAGAAAATTATACATGGTTTTCAGAGCTTAAAATATATAAATCTGATGTGTGAGGAGCATTTGTACTCAACCCTTGAGTCAGTACTTTGTAGAACCACCTTTGACTTAATTTCTAGCCAAGTATTGGGGATTTGTCTCTGCCAGCATTAAACATCTAGAAACTGAAATTATGCACATTATTCTTTGTAAAATAGCTGCAGCTCTGTCAGATTTGGCAGAACGCACATCATGTTTCAGGTTTTGCCATAGTATCCCAGCTGGATTTAGGTCTGAACTTTAACTGGTCCATTGTAGGAGCATAGGTCTAAAATTGGGCAAAGTATGAGTTATCAAGAAGATATAAGTGAGAGGTTCAATTAAAATTTGGGGCACCAGTTGATGGTGACATACAGCTGCAACTTAGTGTGTTTGCTTGAGTCAGATTTAGCACAAATTCTGTTACATGAAAACATTTAGAAACAATGGAAATGTCTTTGTCCGTCTTTAGACAAAATTAAATATTTACCGCTCTCTCTGACTAGGGGCTCCTGTGTGACTTCTCTCTTACCTTCCATGAGGGCTGTGTTTGTGCGACTGTTGTTGAGGTCTCTGCGGTGCAAGTTGTGCAGGCAGTAGTCTCGTAGGCTTAGTGTGTTGCTGAGACACTGCAGGATACTGTTCAGGAAACACTGTATGGAATAAATAATGAAAATATAAAAAAAACTCACTCATTTTCAACAAAGTGTATTCTGTACATTTATTAATGATTTGTCATGTTTACATTTAAACTGATGGTAAATGGTCTGGACCATCTTTCTCTCCAACCAGGATACTCAAAGTGCTACACACTACAATCTGTGTCCTCATTTACTCATTCACACAGCACTGTTAGGTCTCTACAAAGCTAACATGTACAAATAATCCTACTGATCAGTGTTTTAAATCACATTTATACACTGATGGGACACATACATATGAGGAAGAAGTGTCTTTCCCAAGGACACAGCTACTGAGACAGCTGGGATGGGGGATCAAACCGGCAACCTGGGACGACTCCTCTAACCACTCTGCCACAGCCGCCCCTGATGAAAGGAATTTTTCACATTCTTAATAGTTTTTTGTTCCAAGATAAACTTCAGGGGAAAAGTGACTTAACTTGGTTACTTCTTGACTAACCAACCAACCATTCATTACTTTTGTGAAGAGAACATGCAAACTCTACCCAGAAAGGTCCTTGGCCAGCAGGGTTCGACAAATGAGATTGCTCGACTACCTGGGGGCATGTAAAATGCAAATTCAGGCAGGTGGATGTGTCCTGATACCTGCCCAACCAGGAATGTAAACTATTTCTTTTATATGGCCATTTAATTGAAAATTCCAAAAAGAAATTTAATAGAAAAGAATAAATAAACCCCCAAATTTCTGTTCAGTACTGTAGCTGTAAAGTAGGGGAGCGAGATTGAAAAGCCAGGGCTGAACTAAACAATGAACGGATGAGGAAGAGATAGATGATAAGAGACTGGTTAAATACAAACTGATGGAAAGAGAAAATGAGAAACACTTGAGCAAGAGGCAGGTTCTAATTACAGCCAGGTGTGATGATGGAGAGTGATCAGGAAAAGACACGGGACTGACAGATGAAAATGAACATGCAGAAACAACAAGAGGGAGACTTGAACACAAGACACAGATCCTCACCAATGCTGACACACACAGTCACATGCACATTTTTTTTTTTTTGGCCGTAACCACCAGAGCCAATTCGAAACTGCAATAAATCAGCAATTTGATTTACATATTTGTCTGAAACTTATAATTAAAACCATACCTCTGCAATTTTTAGACATATTAGGCCAAAATATGGAATGGTGGTAGATGAAAATGGTCTTCCACAAATAGTAAAGTCAAACTGTAAGTTTAAAATGGATGGCACATGACAAGCCCTTTCATAGTTTCTGCAGGAACTATTCTAGTTTAATGCTATCCCCCTGGACTCCAAACATATGGGAATGCAGATGACATGGTCAAACTTATAGAAGGCTTCTGCCCGAGTACTGTATGTGACTTAATGCAGAGGGGATTCAACATAGTATCCAGATGGTGCCAGGAGCAAGAACTTTCTGTCAGTCTATGTAAAACAGAATAGGGGAAAATAGAGACAGAGAGAAAAACAGAGAGAGAAGTGATTAGAAAGATAGAAAGATTGAAGTAGCGATTAGAAGTATATTAAATATACACCAACAAAACACAGGACCACACACCCAACATCTGTCCGCTCACCTGAAAAATAAATGGATAAATACATGGAGGGCATATATAAATGTATACACATACCCATACATATATAAAAATGTACATACATACATGCCTACATTCATAAATATTGTCAGTATATACACACACATATATACACACTCAGTGACCAGTCAGAACCCCCCAGATCAGAACACCTGTCTGTGAGCAGTTGTGAACATGCGTGTATATACAAGATTTCTCCAGTGGAATATTTAATAGTGACTGTGGAGGATCGGAGACCCAACCCCCAAGACAAGAGGCAGACATAGGGAAGACCAGAGCCCAAGGGCCCAAGAGGGATCCCGAGCGCAGAGCCCCAAGGGGCACCTGCACGGGAAGATCCGCCCACCCACCACCCAGATCAGACCATAGGGGAGAACTGGAAGAGTCCACCCAGCGACCACACGCACAGCCCCCAGGGCCAGCAGCGAAAAACTCATGGGCCCCACCGGCACCCACCATACCAGAGCAGATCCAGGAAAGGGCACAGAGGTCCGGGCCCCCAGGGCGCACCCCCCCCCCCAGGTCAAAACCCGACAGGTCCAGAGGCTCCGAGCCCCAGCAGGCAGTCACCAGGCCAGGCCGGCACATACTCCAGCGCCCAGCCCCAGACCCCGGGAAATGGATGGAAGTTAGACCAGTTGGATGGAAGCTTCAGTGCATCGTGAAGCTTCATCTCACCATCACTACAAAAAACTACAACAAAATAACAAAATTATTAACAAACTCAAAGGATTTAGGGAAACAACAAGGAAAACCAAAACAGACAAAGCCATAGAATGATCCAGCCAGGTAGTGTTGAGATGAGATCAGTTATATACAAGCAGAGGGACAGAGGATAATGAGC